TTATCACGTAGGCACCTCCCCTCCAGGGCCTCATACATTCGAGTCCACTAGCAAACGGTTACACGACGTTGTGAAAAATGTGTACGGCTGCAGGGAGATTGCGTTGAAAAGTGACAGAGGTTTCAATTTTTTTTGTATGATTATTGTGTGAGAAAAAAAATCAGAGACCTTAGAACTTGAACGCACAACGAGGGCTATTACTACTCTACACACATTATAAATCACCACAGCACCTGTTAAGCCTTTTTCCAGCCTGCTGTATCTTCAGCAGTGGCTTCTAATAGTCGAGATTCTTCAGCTTCCCACGCTCATGTTCTTACTGTTAATGGGTTAACACTATACAAATGAACTCTCAACTGAACTGTAGCGCCAACTGTCTTCAAGATAACTCCTCAATACAGACCAGACAGAAAACATGGCCCCCTCAGTTGTTGTAGACGCGTGTTTACAGGACCACTGCATAGCAACAGTAGTGGACCACATAGAAAACACCTTTCTTATATTGTTGTGTGCATGTTGCAGATATTACCTAACAATGGTCACTGTTCAGAGAGTCACTGCTTAGCAGCTGGTCTATATGCCACACTGCTCCCTCCTTAAGGCTATACTGCCATTTGTTTTCAAAGGGTTTTGCTTGTGATGTCTGTGATTAGTCTCACCTTCCTCTTCTTGGCTCAGTTTGCAGTGTTTACACTCCAACTGCTCCCACTGCACCACCCTTAAGGCCTCTCATCCCACGTGGCTCCTTGATAAGATGCAAGGCTGTCCAGGTGTATCAACATCAACCTCTTCCAGTTGGTGCGGTCAATGCTCTTACATCTATGGCTCCTATTCTAAAGCTGCTAGTAGGCTCTTCTTTTGTTTTGGGAGGTGTCAACCCCTCCAAAATGTCCTGACACTCATTTCCTGCAGTCTAATGGAAGTCCTGACTGCTCACTTCACAATCTCCAACTCAAGAGTTTGTCTGAGGGTCTCATATAATGTCTTCTGGCTTCTCAGACATAGCTCCTGTCTCCAGTTTCATCCTCTGATGCTGTTGCTGGTTATCCCCTCCCTCCACAGATGTAGTTGTTGTCTTGAGCCTTGGTTCCTTATGCCAGTGATGCTTTCCTGGTGTGTCCAATGTCTCCTTCCAAACGTCTGTCCTTTCCGGGCTACTTGTACAACAATGTCCTTGCCTTGTCCCTTACACAGTGCAGGAATGGAACGCTGTATTATTCCTCGGCAGGCAACAGCCAATTTCTTCCAAGATCCACCATAGCCCTGGGTCTGATTCTTTGGCTGACCATAGTGCCTTATGGTTAGATGCCCATCCCTATGCCACTTCTTCAGTGCTCTGCAAGTTTCCACTGCAGCTTCGTCTTTTGGAGCCTCCTCATGCTCTGCCTCAGACTCTATCTCCAATTAGGTTGGCTCTTTACTCTCCAGACGGCCCTCTGTCGCTTCTCAGCAGGCCGTTGTCTCGTTACACCAGGCCCTCATTTCTCCTAGCCAGACACCCATCTTGGCCACATGCTTTTCAATGATGGCTAACAAGACGTTCAAAATCCGCCATAACTATCTATCTTCTGGGTTCAAATCTGACAGTGCACAGTTCACAAAGTCCAACAACTAGTTGTCAAGTTCTAATGCAGTTTCCAATCCAACAATATCTGGCACCAGATTGTTACACGATTTTGGGGTGTGACTATAGATGAGGTATGGACTGATGAATGGATTTATTGACCACTTGTATACAGCACTCAAAACTACATGTAATTACAGTGCTATTGCTAATCTCCACCCTTTACAAATCACGACAGCACCCACTAAGCCTTTCTCCAGTCTGCTGTGTCTTCAACAGCCATTCCCTAACAATGCCTTCTAATAGTGGAGAGTCTTCAGCTTCCCGTGCTCACTTCATTAATGTCCGCTGGTTAACATTCCACAACTGAACTTCCAACTGAACTGTAGTGGCAACTGTCTTCAACTCCTTTGCATGGACCATGCAGAAAACACAGTGCCTCTATTGTTGTAGAGGCGTTTACTGCGCCATTGCATAGCAATGGCTGTGACATGGACCACATAGAAAACACCGTTCTTCTACTGTTGCATATTACCTAGCAACGGCCGCTGTTTACAGAGTCACTGCTTAGCAATAGGTCTATATGCCACAATATTTATTACTTTCAACAGTAAAGCAGTCTCAATGCAGACTGGACTGTGAATGAGCTATCAGAATCTACCTCACTGCTTCAATGAACTCTCTAAAGGTTCGGCCACACAGAGCGCTACGCTATGTTCGCTACATACACTGTGTACACTCAGTGATGCAGCTAACATAGGGAACATAGCGTACGTAGCGTATGGAGTCTCTGTGGCCAGTCACACTGGCAATAAAGGAAGATATTTTTCTGTTCGTATAGCGAACATAGCGTACGTAGCATGCGTCGTGTACATAGCACTCTGTGTGGCCGAACCTATAAGTACATATGTCATTCTAGTCATTTTTCATATATTTTGTCACAGACCCAAAGTTTCAACATCACTAATGCTAAACGACTTAAACTGAACAAGATACTAAGCCAGTTCCATATAACTCCCATCACCATTTGCTTCCATAAAATCATTCTTAACATTAGCTTCCCATCTACTTCTCAGCAGATATTTTCTAAGATGGTTTCCCACCAAAACTGGTAAGAATGCCTTGCCATTCTACAAGTTAAAACTTCAAATGGAGAGTATAATAAAGGGACCATGATACTGTGTACTTACTGATGTCACACATGCAGCTTTGAAGACCCTGGGTCTCACAGTATGGCATACACTTCCCCCTACGACACTGTCCTCTCTCCAGGCAGGGTGTTCCATCTGTCATTGCTAAACTACGTGGACACTCTGAAGAAGCTCCCGTACAGCGTGATTCCTGCTCACAAGTCGCTGGCTGTGCGTCACGACATTTCATTTGCCCTGGCATAAACTGACAGTTCTGGCAGCATGGAGAATTCTTGTCACTGCACACAGCTCCCTGGTTGCGACGCAGCTTGCAGTTCTTATCACAGCAGGCATCATTGTCTTCTGTACCCAGTAATCCTGCATCACACTCCTCATCAGCTTCCACACGCAGGTTGCCACAGAAGGATTCTTGTGGTTCTGAGAAACAGCGCCCCGATTTGGCCAGCAGTACTTTGCGAATTGATCGCAAACTGCATGGTGAAAAGCGCTGGAGGAAAAATGTCAACAATGCATAAAATTTTCAAGTTTCAGTTCTAGATCTTAGTGATATTTAAACCTTATGTTATGTACAAACTCTTTATGCACGCAGCCATTTTTTAACAGTATAAATTTAATTGAAGTGTGAAGTCCCCTGGGTTGTAACACCTGATTCTACTGGTTTTTTCATTGACTTAACCTTAAATCATGAAAATGGGGGCAGTATGTTCCTAAAAATGTTGGATGGTCTCCAAATTACATGGTGTTACAACCCAGAAGATTGAATCCTTCACAGTCACAGCCTCACTGTTGAGAACCTAAAATACAGCAAGTCTGGTTTAAGTTACTTATGTAGGTGGCGCCATAGCTCAAGCGGTTAGTCGCTGGCTTCCCGGGTTCAATCCCGGGTCTGGTCAAGTGGGATTTGTGGTGGGCACTGGGGCAGGTTTTCTCCGAGTACTTCGGTTTCCACTGCCAATCTTCATTCCCCCAATTGCTCCACAATCACCCTCACCTATCACCTGGGGCTGGTACAGTAGGCCAGAAGTGGCCGCAGTACAAGGACTTAGTCCCACCTAACTAGCAATAAAAAAAAGTTACTTATGTAGGAATATTTCCTCAGGTGACAAGAAAAAACAGAATGAGAAATGAAATTATGCAAAGAAATGGACGTTCCTTCATCAGTAATAATAAAAGTAGAAAATAGACTGCTAAAATGGTATGGTCATACTGAATTAAGCAAGGAGCAAAGATAATGTGACCACTGGCCACTACTAGGCAGGCAGAGACCTACACATATGCACAAAACACTTATTAGGTACAATACAGTCCAATACAAATCAGGGTTTCAAATATGGAGAGTGGAAGAAGAGATTACTCTGGAAAATGAAGATAGAAACCCACGAAGGAATAAAGCCAAAAAGAACATAAATTTTGATGTCAACTTTATATAATACTGGGTTTATAGCAGACTTATTGGATACAAACTTATATTCATTTGACAATTTTTAATGTATCCCCTGCCCCACAATGTAAAATTTTATCAAAATCAGCTGAACAGTTTCATAGATCAAATATGATGACTAATTGATGAAAATGACTTCACAATTACCTTTTCATTCTCTGCACTTTGTACAAAGAATGTAGCAAAACACATATGCTACAGATTCCAAAGCAATTAGCTGGAGTTCACGCTAACCTGAGACAATATGTTTAGTTCAAGAAGTCAATCTGTAACACTAAGTAAATTCTAGTTCACACATAAACTCAGCTCACCTTATTATTGATATCATACCCACTAACACTGTATGTGTACATGAGATAGGAGCCCCCTTGACTTGCACTGGGGCTACATTCTGGAATATCAGGATCATGTTCAGAACCCCAATTGTGACCAAACTCATGGGCAGTAACAAGATCGGCCTCTCTTGTTATAACTCTCTGTCCATAGTGGTTCCGACTTGAGCTCAGGCCTGAGTTCAGATACAACGTGTATCCATTCTTGAAGTACTCTGCAACATCATACAACTTCTGAGATAAATACCTGCAGTCCACAGCTACCTTACAATCCAAAACTCATACTTATCCCATTTAGGCTTAATATATCATGCAAGGGTTCAATAATTCACCTTGTAAACTAATTAATTAATTAATGAGAAAAGTCTGGGTTCTCAGATCTACAGAACAATGAACAACATGCATCAAGAACACTTGACTTATGAGAAACACCCTCTACTTATAGCCTGATTTTCTAAACAATTCTTTTTGTAGATTAATTGATAACCAGCTTATTAACTTACTGACTCATGATTTAACTGTCACATTTACAAAGATGCTGACTGAAACTGACTGTGAACATGTCAGAAGTTCAATGCAAGATTGCACATACAATGTGTTCCAATCTGGGTTTGAACTGACAAATGTTCATGGCCATTTTCAAACAGTATTTCTGGAAATGTGACAGGTAAATCATAAGTCAGTAAATTAATAAGCTGATCATCAATGAGCACAGAGCACAGAACACTATATTTTAAAAGCATAAATGACGGACTGTACTCCAATTTATATGACCTACTGGAATAAATAAAAAAAAAAATGGTGCCCATCTCTTGCATCAACGGTACACTACCATCCCCAGTTGATGAATAATACTGCATTTAATTTCATAATTCA